ATTAAAATACTAACTTAATCCACTAGGATTAGTCAACAACTCCTAATAAATTCCTACATCCCACAAGCAAAACAATAATCATTATTCATTTACCCAAAACGTACAATTCAACTTCCAATTTAGAACCATTTTCTTTGGTGGACCAATTTCCATTATGTAACCATAATTCTCGAATTTATTTATATTTAACCTCACAAAATTTTATGGCTGCATCTAACATCTCGTTAGACTGCCTACGTACCCTAAACAGGGATCAAGCCATTCGTAGTTCACATTTCAAAACTTCAACCAAATCTCGAATATATTCAATTAATCCAACATATACAACAATCGTATTAATGTCCAAACCTCAGCAATTAGTTTTCAGAAATACAAATTAAAAATTTGAATTTTGGCATAAAACATAATATTGGCTCCCTAGTCGTGCGCTGCTGCACGCACCGCCGTGGGTGGCGGTCGGCCGCCCCAGCTCGCCGAAAAATTTAACTATTTCTAAAAATTCCCAAAAATTACAGAAATGAAGATCTCAAGGCGTAGAGCAAAATTTATACCTGTGGCCAAGCCCAATTTAGCCTGGAAAGGCTCCAATTTGCCTTTAACCCGTCGGAACCCTAGAATTTGGGTGTCCACGATTTGTTATCTCCAGTGTTCCGCCGCTCCAATCAAGGCTTGGGTTTTGTTCTAGGGCTCAAGGGGAGTCTAAAAGTGGTTGTAATTGAACCAAAACATTTCAGATTTTGATGGATTTCGAGCAAGGAAAGTTGCAGCACTCGTGAGGTGTTTTCTCGAATTCTAAGACCAATTAAACTCCAATTTGTGGTGGAATAGGTAAAAGAGATGATTAGAGATAATTTTCAGGTCGTGGGGGACCTTAATTTCGTCGGAATTTGGCCGGGAGAGGATAAATTTCGCCAGTTATGCCTCACGGGTCAAAAAACCTGTTTTCCCCCTCCCATTTTCTTCTCTCCTTTCCCTCCTTGTTCTTCCCCCTGATTCGTCCCCCCCTCCTTCCTTTCTTTCCTTCCCTTTTCATCACAACCGTTCCTCCTTTTCTTCCTTTAATCTTAGCCACACACGTGGCTTTCCCAGATTTGGCCTAAAAATCTGGAACCTTCTCAAGATAATCAAGTTACCATTTTGTCCCCGACTTTAAACGTCAATAACTTCTTCGTCATAACTCCGTTTCACGAACGGTTTGCGCCTACATGTTCGTGAGATCGAGCTCTATTTAAAAGTATAAATTGTGACCTTGTATGGTCAAATGATTTTAAATAATTAATTCCCAAACTTCTAACTTCTTAACTAGTTTAGTTCAAAACTAGCTCAAATGAATTAATAAAATTTCTCAATTCTTTTTCACATACTCATAATTTTGAATATTTCAATTCCTATATTTAAATTTTTCAGGGTATTACATACTTCATACTAAGAATATGATGAATGAAATTAATATTCATAAACCTGAGTGTTCTGACAAAAATAAACCTTAGTACTATTAAGCAAGTGTAATTTGGGCCTTTCCACAGGACCTCAGAGAGCAACACAACAAATGTTGGCCCATTTTTTTTTTTTTTTTTTTTTTTTTTTTTTTTTTTTTTTTTTGGAAATTAGCTCAAATTTTGTTTCGGAAGTCTTTCCCCGAATCTTTTGCTGTAAGAAAATTGAACTGTTGTTTAGAGAGCATCTGGCCACAAACAAGAACAAACAACCGTAGTTAACCCAAAATACCGGCGTGGTACCGATCAAAGGCTCTCTAGTTGTATAATTCTTAGAACTCAAGCAATGGAGAAAAGAGTAAGTATGCGTTATAGCCAAGGCTGGCCCTGAGGGTAGCCCAAGTAGGCAACCGCCTAGGGCCCCAAAAAAAATTTATATCTTGTAATTAACATATAAATATAAAATAAAATAAAGTAAGAAATTCATAACTCATTTGTTAGTGCAGTGGAAATGTTGGCTTCATTTTTCTTTGGGGTGTTGAGTTCGAAACACGAAGTTGCCTTTCAGTCACTAAATTTTTCTTGTTTTTCAAATTTACTGCAAATCCATTTGTCCAAATGCATATAAAGTTATAAAACTCAAGTCTCTTTGCAATCTTTTTTCTTTCAACTTCTCATTCTCTCCATTTCTATCGAATGTTTAAACCAACTTCTCATTCTTTCCATTTCTATTGAATGTTTAACCAACTATCATATGGTCTTAAAGATTGTACTTTAACATAATCAAAACTTTGAATTTTATATTTTTCTTTTCAATAACTTTTTATTCAATGGATTATTTTAATATTCAATTCGTTAGTGTGATGTTGATTTTAGAAGAAAAAAAAACACAATAGAAACAATTGGCGTTGAATTAATTATACTCGTTAATCAAGTTTTATTATTATTTAATCTCTTGATCATCAAGTTTTATTGTTCTTCACTCTCAATCTTAAACTCTTGACTACAAACATTTAGTACATTTATGTCTAAAAACATGAATTGTGTAATGTTTAAATAATATTTGTATATTTATCTTCTTTTGATATTAATTTTTAATGATATTTGATGTGAAAATAGAACTTTTTATGTATTTAGCGAATTCTTTTTTTATACAAATCAATATAAAAATAATCGGAGATCAGAGAATTTTAGGGCCCCACTTCGAAGGCTCGCCTAGGGTCCCTAAATTTTCAGGGCCGGCCCTGGTTATAGCGTTACCATATATGAGACCTAGATGAGGATATTTATACTAGTTTAGAGAAACCCTTTTTGGGTATAGAATTTGTAATAATCAGGAGAATTCTAAAGGATATTTAGCATAAGATATTGTTCCCTTTTATGATTTTGATTACTGGCAAAATTTGAAAATCCCTAGATTGTAGGAATCTCCAAGAAAATAGAAAACCATACCAGGTTTCCGTATCTTACGAATAAGCATTGTCGATCTCAACTAATCCTGCGGGCCTTGCCTACCATTCCAAATCCCAACAGGGTGTAGTGGTACCATTGGTCTGTTTAGGTAGCTTAGTCTGATTTGGAGCCGTTAAGTCCATGACCGGACTTATGAGCACTTGTATTTCGATCCATTTCACTCTAGGCCTTGCTGTTCGAAATTCATTGACCCATGTCAATCCAGTTCGGTTACCAATGCTAGGTATTGGAGACGTTTGATCTTGACAGTCATGCAAAAGACAATGAGCCAACACATCGCGTGTGCACGAAGCCTGAAAGGTTGCTTTTTATGTTCTGAGAGGTTATACGTGAATCTCAAGATGAATTGTTCTAAATCAAATGGCTACATGATTCTGAAGAATTCTCTATAAATATCTCACCTTTTCTCTCATTTCACTCCATTGCATCCAAGTCTACTGAATACTTTCTATGCAAAAAAAATTTAGGGCTTAGGCTTTGAAAATTCCCAAATCCTTTCGAATCTTAAAATTTTTCGTCTTTCTGTTCATTTGTTCAACGAAAATAATGGCCTGTTTCAGCAGCAAACTATTATACCTCATATTTTCCACCAATGCCCAAAGTTTGCAATGAAGAAGACTGCAAGGCTTTCGCTAAACAGAGGTGACATTTACTCAACAACTGCATACTCTGGTAGGAAGCCTGTGAACATATCCATGCTCTACTACCTAATCTGTCAATTCTTAGATGACCATGTACCAATTCACCCTTGGTATTTGGATCTGGGACTGAGGTTCCCAATCTTGAACTTCACAAAAGAGGTTATGGTCGTCTATAATCTCATCCTGTGCAATTTAAAGCCACCATCGTATTGGATTATTACCAGTTTTGAACTCCTCAACGAATGGTATAGGGTAGAACTCGGCATTCAAAAAATTTGCAAGTTGTACACGATCCAACAAAGTTCGAAGTGTCGCTACTTCTTCGAAGCTCGTGCGAGTCTTCAATGGCAGACTTATATCACTAACTTACCTAAACAAGATAAAGATTGGTATAATGACATTCTTGTTATCGAGGGAGAATGGGAAGGCAAGATCATCGAAGTTCGAGTCCCACACATTCCAACCAGGACCTGGTGATTGACAAAAATATGAAGAAAGTTGGAGTTTGTTGCCCCTAACTTATTGACAGAGCCTTTGCAATCATTCTTGAGGAGCACCAAGATCCATAGTGGAATAAAGATAATGGCACAGATGCCATTATGTTGCCCTATTTTGAGTAGCCGATTACGGATCCACTCTGGATCAACGGAGTTGGAGAAGAAAGGAGTGCGGTGCATTGAGAAACCCAAGAAAAAGAACAAGAACAAGAAGTTCGATGAAGCAGTTTCAAAAAAAAAAAGTCCAGCTACAAGGCTTCACGCAAAAGAAAGTATGCTAATGAGGGAGGTTCTAAGTCTTTATTTGAGGAAGGTTGACAAATATACCATCGTTGGAGAGACGACTCTGGACGAAGTAAGAGCTCTCATAATGGTGATGCTCAGTGTCTAAGCTATTGAATAAAGATGAGAAAGAAGAGAAGAGAGAGAAACACCAACCAATGATTGCGAATGACTCCTAGAGATCCAGGATGAATCCGCTAGATGAGAGTAGGGGAGAGAAAAGAAGAGGTAGCAGAGAATTAGTAGCAGTGTGATCATACTGCAAATCGGATGGTCATGACGCTAAATCCACCAGGAGTTAACTTGCGTTCCTACCACTATTCTAAAAATCTTCGTCTAACACCGTCTATGACCTAGGCGGCTGGCCACCGCCCGATTAATCCCTAGGCATTTGAAAATTAAGAAATGGTGCCTAGACCTCCTTAGGCAGGCACCTAGACCTCATTTGGCTTCTACCTAGCCTGCCTACCTCGTCTAGACTCGCCTAGGCACCCTCCTAGGTCGCAGCTCTCATTTAGACAAAAAATCGATAACTTTCATTTTAGATTTTATTTTTATTTAATAAATTGTAAGAGACTTATTGAACAATTGGATGAACACTCATTTTAGGCTTGTTCCCCATATTTTCAGTATGTTACATTACTTTATCTATATGTCATTTTATTTTGTAATTTATGTATCCCAATACAATTATGTATTTTGTAGGTATAAATAAACACTTATTTAATACAAAATAATAAATTTACTTGAATCCGTCTGGTCCACTTAGGTCCCGCCTAGGTGCTAGGACTCAACCCACCGCCCAACTAGCATCAAGCATCTTTTAGAACCTTAGTTCCTGCTCCCTCGTATGTGGCAACACCAACCATTCTTGCACCAACTCTCTAAAGGTAACAATTTCTAGAGACCCAACTCCACTGCAGTTCTCATCGCACCTATTTCGAGAAGTTTTTTAATGAGGCCCTAATTATCAGAGATGCAAGCTCTTCCGCTGCTAACATAGCTGGAGTTAAGCAGTCGGAACAACAACCACTTCTCTTAAAACCAATGTGGAATAAGGGGCAACCTCCGGCGAATGCCCGCGGACTTGATAATGTAAAGCATGCCCAAGCCATTATTCGTGCAGCAATAGCTCCAGCGGAGAAACTGAAAATAAAAACAATGAAAAATAAACAAAAGAAATTCAAACGTGGAAAAAGGCTGAAGAAAACTCCACCATGTTCTATACAAACCAGTTTTCCTCGAACTGTTCAACTTCCATAAATCCCATCTCAAGCAGTTTCACTCTTATTTGATTTTCAATCACATCTAGATCTAATGTGTGCAGGACAATTACACCTATCCTACAAATCATGCAAAAAAAAGGAAGAGAAAATCGATCGAAATTCGCTGAAGGTTAAATCTGAATTGGTGGGTTCTTCAATCACCATTCTGCAAGTTCACCTTTTTCATTCCATTAGCACCATAATTTTCTTCAATTTTGAAGAATTATGAAGAAGGACGAGGTTTTATAGAATAACAGCAGGTTCTGCAAAATTTTGGATCAATATTTTGGTGATTCTATTAGGTATAAGGCCTGAAACTTTTCTTATCTTTCTCTTCTTTATTTTTATTCCATCGAAAGGTATTCTTATTTCGATACACCTTGCAAGGGACAAATAAGAAAGCAAAGTGGTGATGGGAAGTGAAACATTAAGCATGAACTTCAGTTGTTGGGCAAAGCAATGGTGGTTTCGTTCTTTCTTCTCTTTACCATTTGACATTCTGTTTGTTACTACAATTTCTTCTCTATTTTCCTATATGCATGTTTTGTTTAAATTCATCATGAATGTGTGTGTGTGTGTTATACATCCCAATACATATGGGTCAATTGACAAATTTGCACATCGTATGCATGTCATGTGTTTGACGGGATTAGGAGTGGGATGGATTCTATTTAATCTGACCAATACTTTATACCTTCCTCATCGACTTCCTATTGGAGAAAACATCCCCAAAAATGTCACTTCCAGGTACTGAATCTTCATATAAATAATTTTCTGAAATGGTATTGTTTCCCTTTACTTTCTTTATATTATTCTTTAATTTTTTTGGTGATTATTTTGATCTTACTCTTCGTATCAATGAATGTAATGAGATGCTTATGAGGTAATTCTTCATACACTTAATTGGTTCGCGCAGAAGATGAAGTACACAATATTTGTACAGTGTAGACTTCATTATGAAGATACATATGGTTAAATTTTTATTCTCTCTGTTTTATGTGCTTATTTGGTTTCTACACTTCTCTTTCTATCCTTTGTAGGTTTGTCGGGGAAACGTCATGAATTATTCAGGCATGCCACATCTTTTTTAATTTAGTAATTGTATGTAGAGTTTACCAATTTTGCTTATATATGTGTGAAGAGTTTGCCAATTGGAATTGTAATTCATAATTTGTGATGGGAGTACAATTTCGTGAATATGAAGTGGTTGTCTTTCACAGCTTAACAATTAATGATCTCTTTGGTGCATATGTTGATTTCGCGATTGTTTAATTGTGTAGGGTTAAAAAAAATAAGTGTTTTGAAAGAAGAAATGCACATTAGAGCTGTACATGAAGTAACACTTGAAAAAAATTAACATTATGTTTCTTTTCGGTTTTTCCTCATCTTATGCAAATTCTTATCATTTTCATTTCTTGGAGATTATTGAGTTTGTAGAGTTATGTAATTAAAACTGAATCATAAAAAACCCACCCACTTTAATTTCAAAATCGTAATTTTTACTCGTTACTTGATTTAAAGGATTTTAACTTTTTTTTATGAATTTGTTTGGAGTTTCAACCAAGCATTATGTTTGCAATAACAATTGGATAATTTAATTGAAAACTACCCGTTTCTTTGAGACATTTGGTAAACTTGAGTCAAGGGAGGGACTAAATTCAATTATGATCTCTAAATTTGACAAAAAAAACATTACTCTACATTCATGTATGTTCTACTAGGGCTGGTTTCGATTTGGTGGCCGAACCAAAAGCCTTATACCAAAAATCAAACTGATAACTTTGGTAAAGGCAAAAGAAAAATTGAACCCATCTTTCCGTTTCACCAAAAATCGGGAAAACATAAAATAAAAAAAAGGGTATTCGGTTGGTTTAGGTAAACCGATTTTTACATGTTCGTCGCCTGGCGTTGCCGGCGGTGGCGTTGCCATCCACCGCCCAAAGACTCTAGCTATTTCTCCAGATCTAGAGCCAATTCCCGTTTGAGGTAGGTGGAGTCCCAAACCCATCAATCAAAGCGCCAATTCAATTTACAAATCCCTAAAACTAAATTCAAAATATCACCAGAAATCCCTAATCTTAGTAATATGTAATTAATATCTTACCTTGAACGCCGGATAGAGATCACACATATGTGTGGTCGACGACGAGATGACAGAGGAGTTGGTGGTGGGAATGACATTAGAAAGGAGAAACAGAGAGGGTAGAAGGTGGTGTGGTGTGGTGTGGCGTAGTGTGATGTGGCAGGAGAAGTTGCAAACTGAGTCAAGGGAGGGACTAAGGGAGAGAGGGCACCAAGTGTTGCGAGTTATATATTAGTTAAAGTGTAAATAGTAGTTTATTATCCCACATTGATGAAATACATATGTAATACCAATTGTAACTCCTATATATACTCCATTTTGGAGATTAATGAATATATAAAAAATTCCCAAATATTGTCATATATATTTTTGGTATTTACCATGTTTAGTTTAATATAGCATCAAAGCAATTCGCTCTTGGTGACCTGTGTGCTTTAATTTTGTGCCCACATTTTTCATGATTTCCTTCGTGAAAAAAAATAAATAATGAATAGTGTCGCGCTACAGTACAGTGCGTGAACAGTGGTCTGCCATGAATAGTGCTCTGTTATAGTGCCGTGAACAGTGCTCTCTACAATATTCTGGTAAATTGTTTTCATTCTGCTGCGTGTCTTTTATGCCTTTATTGTTCGTGATTTTGTTCAATGGCTCAATATAATCATAGTGTTGTTATGCATCTTGATGGAACAAATAAATGGATAATTGATACTGGGGCCACTGATCATGTGACTAGTGACCCTAGAGTGGTTGATGAGCTATGTGACTATGTTCGTGATCCGTATATTACTAGTGCAAATGGAGCACATTCCGCTGTGAAGGGTGAATGCACTATCTCTCTGACTCCAACCTTATCACTGATCCGTGCTTTACTTGTTCCTGATGTTAAGTGCAATCTTTTGTTGGTAGGAAAACTTCTTGATTTTCAGACACCGTTCGATGTGCTGCAAAAACATGTTTCTCTTGTTTCTGTATCAAAGCTTCCTCCGAAAGTGTTTGGGTGTATTGCGTATGTGCATGTCTACTCTCATCAGCGGAGTAAACTTGATGCATGTGCTCTCCGATGTGTCTTTATTGGGCATGCTAACAATAAAAAAGCTTATAAGTGTTATCATCCTCCGACTCAAAAAACTTATATTACCATGGATGTCACCTTCCATGAGGAAGTTTCGTATTTTGTGAAGCCCTCTTCCGACTCTCCACTTCAGGGGGAGAGGGGGAATGAAATGCAGATTCGAAGAGATGGTATGGATGATGTGTTACAGGCAAAGTTAGGAACATAACCTATTATGTTGTGTGATATTGATCAGTCGGCTACAGATAGTGATCGGTCACCTGTTATTCCCGGAACTATTTCTACTGACGACAAATCAGATGTGCCCAACGAGTTGCCTGTTAGTATGTCTGACAAATTACCTTCTGATGATCTTGCCTGCTACTGATATGTCTAACGAGTTGCCTGATGATGGTTCGTCCAGTGATGATTCTTCTAACAGTTTGGTACAAGATGGTGGCATACATGAGGTAAATTCTGACGATTCTTCTACTTATCAGTTGCCTCCACAAGCTAATCGTGGAAAACCTAAAGTACAATATGAGCCTGATATGCATGCCAAAGCCAAATATCCTATCAACAATTATGTATCTACTCATCGTTTGTCTAAACCATATGCATCTTACATATGTCAGCTATCTAGTGTATCAATTCCAACAAAATTGCAAGATGCTTTGTCTGACCCTAAGTGGGTTAATGCCATGAAAGTTAAGATGGAAGCTTTGGAAAAGAATTATACTTGGGATTTGGTTCCTTTACCAAATGGGAAGAAAGCTGTTGGATGTAGATGAGTGTTTACTATTAAGCACAAAGCAAATGGTTCTATTGACCAGTATAAAGCCAGATTAGTTGCTAAGGGTTATACTCAAACCTATGGGGTGGACTATCAGGAGACCTTTGCTCCTGTTGTCAAACTTAATATTGTGCGTGTTCTTCTGTCCTTAGCAGCAAACCATGATTAGCCTCTGTTGTAGTTTGATGTTAAAAATGCTTTCCTTCATGGTGATCTTAAGGAGGAAGTGTATATGGATCTCTCACTGGTATTGGAACATCTCCTAGAAAAGGTGTTGTATGCAAGTTATGAAAGGCCTTGTATGGTTTGAAACAATCTCCTAGAGCGTGGTTTGGGAGGTTTACAAGTTCAATGAATAAGTTTGGGTATATCCAGAGTCATTCAGATCATACTTTGTTTCTAAAGCGACAAAATGGTAAGCTAACTACATTGATTATTTATGTTGATGACATGATAGTGACTGGTGATGATCAGAATGAGATACAACGCCTTCAAAAGTACCTAGCTACTGAGTTTGAGATGAAATAATTGGGTGAATTAAAGTATTTTCTTGGAATCGAGGTTGCACGATCCAAGCATGGTATTTTTCTGTCTCAACGGAAATATGTTCTTGATTTGTTAGCTGAAACAAGTATGTTAGATTGCAAACCTGTTGATACTCTGATTGAGCAAAATCATCGTCTGGGCTTATTTCTAGATCAAGTTCCTACTCATAAGGAACGGTATCAGAGGCTTGTGAGGAGATTAATTTATTTGTCTCACACTCGCCCTGACATTGCTTATGCAGTTAGTGTGGTAAGTTAATTTATGCACTCGCCTAGTGAAGCTCATATGGATGCAATAACCCGTATTTTGAGGTACTTGAAGATGGCTCCTAGCAGAGGCCTGGTTTTCTCCAAGAATGGTAATTTGAATGTCGAAGGGTATACAGATGCAGATTGGGCAGGTTCTATCACTGATCGGCGATCTACATCTGGATACTTTACGTTTGTAGGTGGTAATTTAGTTACTTGGAGAAGCACGAAACAAAAAGTGGTGGCTAGGTCAAGTGCAGAAGCTGAGTTTCGTGTTATGTCTCATGGTGTATGTGAGTTGTTGTGGTTGAAAAAATTGTTGAGAGATCTTGGGTTTAAACCCAAAGGTGTTATGAAACTTCATTATGATAACAAGGCTGCTATTGAAATTGCTCATAATCCAGTGCAACATGATCGAATAAAACATGTCGAGATTGATCGACATTTCATTAAGGAAAAATGGATGCTGGAATTATTATGTTTCCGTTTGTGAGATCTGAAGATCAACTTGCTGATGCTCTTACTAAGGCTGTGTCTAATAGTGTGTTTTCCAACTCACTTGACAAGTTGGGCATGCGTGACATCTTTGCACCAACTTGAGGGGGAGTGTTGCGAGTTATATATTAGTTAAAGTGTAAATAGTAGTTTATTGTCCTACATTGGTGAAGTACATATGTAATACCATTTGTAACTCATATATATACTCCACTTTGGAGATTAATGAATATATAAGAAATTCCCAAATATTGTCATATATATTTTTGATATTTACCATGTTTAGTTTAATACCAAGGTCCCTAAAATTATATTCAAATACCACCAGAAATTCCTAATCTTAGTAATATGCAATATCTTACCTTGAATGTCGGAGAGAGAGCACACATATGTGTGATCGACGGCGAGATGATTGAGGAGTTGATGGTGGAGAATGACGCTGGAGAGAAGAAATAGAGAGGGTCAAAGGGATATAAAGAGAGAAGGTCGAAGGTTGTGTGGCATGGCATGGTGTGGTGTGGCCGGGGAAGTTGCAAATTGAGTTGAGAGAGGAAGAGAGAGGGTATTGAGATAGGGATTGAGGGAGAGAGGGCATCGAGGCTTGGAAATGAGTGACGAGTGAAGACCTAAGAGAGGGGAAATTTTTAATTGTGATGGGAACACGAATGGTACACTACGTGTTTTTATGTAAATGGTGGAAAATTTTAATTTTTAAGTTATTAACCTTTTAACATACATAACCCATCATTTATATAGGGACATATGATGTACCACCTCATGTGACGGTCACACTGAAAAATCTCTCCTAATAAAGAGTTGATTTAGAACGAGATTTGAGATTCAATCTCAACGAAATCCAACAGTTAATATTAATTCATTTAATAAAAAAAAACAAAAACCATTGTCGGTTAAAACCCTTTATGAAAATCGAATACCATACCAAAACTTTCGGTAAGTTTCAATTTTAAGCTATAGGACGTTTAGGGATTTGGTTTTTTTTCGCATCGGGTTTGGTATGGTTCGAGTTGGGTTTTTATCGGGTTTTTTTCATCCATATGTTCTACTAAATTCTATTTTAGTAACTAGCGAGACAATGTATATTCTACCAAATTTGACAAGTCAGTTCTTCCATGCGGAGAACACAAGAAAATGTTTGTGTTCCCTCCATGGAGGAACTACTTGTCCCTCCACTTATAATTAACAAATCTTCACCATGCGAACATCTTAACCAAAACCATTCTTTTTTTATTATCATTTAAAGATCATATATGCAAATAATCCATTAGTTTGGAGATTTTTTTAGTCATTCATAGGCATAAAATAAATGAATAACTAATCATAAAGATGTTACTTGTTACCAAAATCGTTGATTAGTTTAATATGCATGAATGACTAAATATGTATAAATGCATGCAGATATGCCGGTATATATATTTTGGAGTGTGATATTCACATACTCTTTTTTACTTCTCACATATCCTTCTAATTTTCGGCTGTTGGATCGGATGAATTGAAGAAGATTAAATGATATATATTAACAAGAAATGTATAAGAAGTAAAAATGAATGTGTAGATAATACCCCATATTTTTCAGCATATAAAATTCTCTGTCCAGAAGTGTCAAAAATTGCACTCGATGAGATGACTACAAAATATATTTAATATTATTACCAATTTATTGCATCTGTAACCACACATCTCATGTTTGCCCAATTTCAATGGTCAAATATGCTAAAGCAGTCCACAAAGTAGCATAATCATTTTCTGCATATAAGTCAAATGGGCCACACCCACCCGACACTTACAGTTGGACTGGTTGACTAGAGTGTCCAAGTAATCTTTGTTAGTCGCAGCAATAGTGATCTGTGAATTTACTATATCTAATACATTATTGGTTGAAAGCATAATGTGATTTTGAAACTTGACCTCTAACAATGAAATGGACAAAACCAAATGGTGTTTGCTCAACTACCTCGCTTTGTATCAAGCCCCACTGCTAGGCACTAGAAAGTGATGGCACGTATATAAACATGTACACAATAAATTTTATAGATCACCAGAAAAAATTGGT